AAAAAAAAGTCTCCCAGCAGACGGGAGCAGCTATGAGGGCGGTTTGTCGGGGGTGAGGGGTGGGGGGGCAGACGGCCTGTGTCTTGAGGGGGAGGGGGTTGCGTACTGCTGGTGAAAGTATCTCTACAGCGCCGTCACTAAGGTAATAAGGTCACCCATGGACGTACATGTATACATACACACCCGGCATGTGCACATAATCTGGCGTTTGGTTCAGTGTTAGGGGCGGGGGGAAGGGATGGGGAAGGGGGTAGAAGGTGGATTAGATGGTGGTGGTGGGGTTAGAGAGGGGGAGGGAGGGGCAGCTGAGTCTCTGAGATCTCATGATGATGGGATAGAGCTTGTACTTGTGCTAGGGGGGTACATGACGAGGAGAAAGGTGGGCGGAGGGAGCTGGGCATGGGCGGCCCTTCAAAAGTACTTCTGAGGCACTTGTAGGGAAACGGGGAAGAGAGGGAGAGGGAGGAATGGGAAGAGAGAGAGAGATTGTATTTCTCACTTGGCGGTTTGGCAGACTATCTGGTACACTAAATGATGGGGACTTTTGTGCGAACAATGACGGAGCGGTTATTATGGGGGAGAATGTGCAGTGTGACAGCAACAAAACACCGAATAACCGTAATGGTCGGCATTACGAAAACAGCGATGATGATGGTGACATGCACGATGCTGACAGTACTGATGCTCACGAGTCATGCTGATGCCTAAGCGTGTGTTGTTCGTGGCATTTGGCGGTGGGTAATGTCATGTTTGGGAACCTTTGACAATGCCAGCACTTGTTGCGCGTGATGCCAAGCCAACAGACACAGGTGTGTTGGAGAGTCACGGGGGCTGATTCATAACAGGTGAGAGAGAGAGAGAGAGAGAGAGAGAGAGAGAGAGAGAGAGAGAGAGAGAGAGAGAGAGAGAGAGAGAGAGAGAGAGAGAGAGATTAGAGAACATCTTCTCTGGGATAGCGCATCAGTGGCTGACCACCAATCAGGCAAAGAAAGACCCAATAACAAGCCTCTCCACGCTGTATCCCCCGCGTCTCGGTGCGGAGGCGTTAGACAACCTCCCCGTCACGGAAATTGGTCAGGTTACTCCGTCTGACCTGTTTTGGGGAGTTGCCTGAACGGGAAGATTGGCTAATACCTGCCGAGTGGGGAGGAAGTGATGTACCCTGCTGCCGTCGAGCGCTGCTGGCCCCATTGCCGCTGGAAGTGGCGGTGACATGCGCTGCTTTCTGGTTTGAAGTGGCGCTTTGCGGGGATTGTCTTGGGGGGGAAGCGACCGAGTGTGGGGTGTGCAGGGAGGTGTGTGCGTGTGCGTGTGTGCGCGCGCGTGTGTGTGTGTGTGTGTGTGTGTGTGTGTGTGTGTGTGTGTGTGTGTGTGTGTGTGAGAGAGAGAGAGAGAGAGAGAGAGAGAGAGAATACGTGGCAGTAGGCGCGTGTAGTAATATGCATTGGCCTTATGTGCGGCCCAAGGTGTTCCTGTTACATAATACGCGCGATAACCACACTCGGGGACTAGATACGATTGCCGAATGTGTTTTATCAGCTCGTCCCACGGCCTCCCGCCCTATCTCAGCGCGGCGGACGGACTCGGTGCGGGAAGGATGAACATAACACAATACTGAAGACCTTTGAGAGCGGATGGACGCAAAATACTGGACGCTGTTGATAAAAGATGAACGCAAAATACTGAACGCTGTTGATAAGAGATGGACACAGCGATATAATGCTGACTGCTGTTGCTAGAGGTTGAACACGGTATTGCACTCTTTTGGTGAAGGAAATCGTGTGCGTAGTTTACAACACAGCGAGTTTCTGTGTTTCTGTGATTCGCTCATGCGTGGTTATTTTATCTCTCTCTCTCTCTCTCTCTCTCTCTCTCTCTCTCTCTCTCTCTCTCTCTCTCTCTCTCTCTCTCTCTCTCTCTCTCTCTCTCTCTCTTCCTCCTCTCTTTCCTTCCTTCGTCCTCGGTATTATCTCTTTCTTCATACCCTACATCCACCTCGACTTCCTCTCTCACACGCATTCTTGTCTGCTCTTGCTCCACCATTTTTTTCTCCCTCTCTTCCCCCCCCTTCTTCCTTTTACCTTCCCCTCCCCCTCCCCCCTCCCACTCATAACCCCCATCCTCCTCCACTTCCTCTTGTCACACGGCCTTCAGGTAGAAGAGACGGTGACGCAACATGAACATTGTTTCGCAAAGAGTTCATAGGGTTTCACCGAGCTCCTTTTATTATGGCTTCCAATAGGGCCCTTCTCCTCCCCCCTCTCTCCCCCCCCTCCTTACTCCAGGAAGGTAACCTCCCCCCCCTCTCCGCCCCCTCTTTCCTCTCCCTCCCTCTCCCTCCTTCTGTAAGGTAGCCCCCACCTTCCCCTCTTCCCTCCCCTCTCTTTTCTCCCCCTTCCCCTCACCTCCCTTTCCTTCCCCTCCTTTCTTCCAGTAACTTGCCCCCCCCCACCTCCTCCTCCTCCCTCCTTGAGACCCCCCCCCCTCCCCCAGTGGTTACACAGTCTCCTCCCAGGAAGTCCCAAAATGTTTGTTGTGTTCTGTGTACATTGTATTACTAAGGAGTTGTCATTGTTGTTGTTATGATCATTATTGTTGTTATTTTGGTCGCGACCCCTTGCTTCTTCCATTCTTGAGTTTTCCCTCACTGTCTTCTTCCTCTTTGCTATGTCCTCTCTTCGTAGATGGTGAAGGAGGAGGAGGAGAGAGAAGAAGAGAGGATAGAGAGGGGTGGGGAGAAATGAGGGATGAAGAGAGGGAAGGACGAGAAGAGAGGAGAGAAGGGTGGGTAGAAATGAGGGAGGAAGGGAAAGAGAGAGGAGGAAGAGGACGAGAAGAGAGAAGAGAGAAGGGGAAAGCTCTCTCATGCCTTGCTTTTATCTTGAATGATTGTCGTTGCATCATGAGTCTCTTATCTCGATTTATCTTTGTTTACACGAAATCTAAAGGGACGATTCGCGTGCACTTGTCTTCGTGGGTTGAATGGCTAAAAAAAATATAGGGTTTATTTTTTCATTTATTTATTTCATTCATTTATTTTCTGATTTTTGATTTTTGTAAGATTTTTTGGTTAGTTTTAAGTCTGTTGATTCGTTTGGTTTTATTTTATTTGTTGGTAAATTTGTTTCGAGGTCTCAGCTGACTTTTTTTGGGGTTGTTTTATTTGCGTTTGTTTTATGTCTTTGCGGCGGGGTTAAATGAGGCCAAGATATCTCTGCATGGCTTATTTGTCTTGTCTGTTTTTTCCTTCCTCTTCCCCAAGTCTCTCCCCTTTTTTTTTCTTATCAAATTTATGCAAGTGGAAAATTTGAAACACACAAAAAAAAGTAAACTTGAGCCTTGCTGATTTCCTGTAAGAGGGTCGGCAATAGCGGGGTCCTGGTCCTTGTAACGGGGTTGAAGATCTGGGTCTAGTTCAGGGCGACCCAGTTCCCTTACCTTCACTCTCGCTCGCCCGGCACGTACGCACACACGCGCACACACATACACGCATGCGCACACACATTCACACACACGCATACACATTCATGTACACGCATACAGGTGTTTGGCAACGTTTGACTGCGCCCGCATGCATACACTCAGTATTAAAACACACACACACACACACACACACACACACACACACACACACACACACACACACACACACACACACACACACACACACACACACACACACACACACACACACATTATAATAATTTAAAATGTAAACTTTGAACGCTTCTAATCTGTTTTATCTATCTTAAGGTCTGCTGTGAATGTGCGTGCGTATGTGCGCTTTGAAATATGTGACGTCACAGCGAGATTCCATAGAAATGTTCCTACGTCACGCACACAAGTCTCGTTGAAACACACGCTGTATTTATGTCAATGGTTAAATTCGTTTAAACTGGCGCGTGTACGTCTAAACTGATGCGTGTACGTTAAACTTGCGTGTACGCTTAAACACTGTACTCTCGTGCGGTTGTGCTACGGTTGTTGCTTCTGGTCCTGGGGGTGGAGGGAGGGGGGAGGGGGAGGGGGCCAAGCTCGGGAGAGAAAGTGCTTGGAGAAATCAGGAGACGTTTCCGGGAGTCTTCCATGTCCGTTTATGGCGGCCGCTACATCATGATTCCCCCTCTCGGTCGTCGCATAGTGTTTTATGGGATCGCGTGCGGTTGTGTCCGTGGCTGTGCGTGCGTATGAGTGCGTATAGAATGATAAAATAATAGAGAGAGGGAGAGAAAAAATTAGATAGGTTACTTCCTGTATTTTTTTTGGCTTCGCTACGCACACATTCACTTTCTCTTAGTGTACACACACCATACCACACACACACACACACACACACACACACACACACACACACACACACACACACACACACACACACACACACACACACACACACACACACACACACACGCACACACCCTCACCCTCACCCTCACACCCTAGTAGGCCCTCAGGCAGGCTACCATAGGCGCGTTTATTTACCCGGCGGCCCTGGAGACGTGGATGGATATCTGCGTTGGAGATAAGAGCGCCGCGCCGCCTGACCCAAGGTCCCGTAACTGTATCTATGTAGGTCATGGCTGCGGCGGCGGCGGCGTTATACAAGCCCGCTCACGTCACGTCACGGGTCGAGGTCACTGCGGCGATAAGGGCGAGGGGAAGGGAGCGGGAAGGCGGGCGGGGCGGCCGGGGATGCTGAGGGGTTTAGCTGGAGCGAGAATAGTGATGTCTTTAAGAATTTTTTTTTTTTTTTAAGATTGGTCTTCAAAATACCAAAAGGAACGATAACTACATCAAATAACTGAAACAACAGAAATGATGATGTCGATAAAGGACGTCAGTAAATATGATTGCACTAATGATGATTTCCCCCGTAGCTAGTTATGATGTTGATATTTATCGTTATCTTTGAACCTCCCTTTTCAAAGCCTTTCTTGCTCTCATCCGCCATGTGATCGATGACCTGTCCGATATCTAACTCGTATTCTCTTTGTTTCCAGTTGACACCGATGGAGGTCGTGTGGTCGGCCCCCACCATGCGGACACGCTGCACCACCACCACCACCACACCCACCACCATCACCACCACCAACACCACCTCAACAACAGCGTGGCCAGGTCCAGGGAGCAGCTCCTGCAGGACCTCCTCTCCTCGGGCCAGCAGATGCCGCCGCACCTCCAGAGCTCAAGTAACAACAACAACAGTAGTATGTACAGCCCCGGCGCCACCTACCCGCCCCCTCACCCGGCCGCCCACACCGGACATCGGACGGCTTACTCAGCCTCTCAGCCAAACACTTCCGGTGAGCTAACAGTCGGTCGTTTTGCTTTGTCTCTCTTTTTTCTCTTTCTTTTCTCTCTCCTCGCTTCGGTTGCCTTGTTCTCTTCTCCTTTTTAGTCATCTTTTTTCCTCTTCTCTCTTTTCGCTTGTTTTCATATTTTCTTCTCTCGGATCATCGCTTTTCCTCTTCTCTCGTTCTCTCTCCTCTCTCTCTCTCCGTGATTATGTACGGTCACGCCCCTTTCCCCTCTCTCGCCCATTCATTAGCCCATTCACCTGGCTCTTAAGTCAGTCGCCTGCCTAATTGCACATCAATCCGTGCGGCCATTCATTCACCTGTCAATCTTCCCTCAACTCGACCTCTCTCTTTTCCCCTCTTTTCAACTGCTGCATCATTCTCTTTCCATAGTTGTTGGTTGTGTAAGCCAGATATTTTGTGTACACGTAGCCTGAGGAAAATGAAGTCCACCCGGTGACCCCTGGCCGAGTAAATGAGATGCGAAGGGTCAAAAATATAAGCGGGAAGTTTGTGCGCCTCGCCATTCCACGCACTCCGGAACAAAAACAAGGGTAACATCGTTATCCAAGACTCCAGAGCTCCCAATCCCCTTCCCCTCCACCTCCTTGCCCTCCCTCCCTCCCTCCCCCTTTTGAGAAGCCAGCGTTCCCCTTTCCTGGAAGTCTTTTGCGCTCTATTTTTCAACACATTCGACAAACAAGTCTTAACAAGCTTATTACGGCGGGGCTTGTCATTTAGGGAGCCCGGCGGTTTTCACTCGAAGGCGCGCTTTACGGTTGTTACCAGGTGAATGTTCGCCTAACGTGATCGTCGATCATAAACCGCTGTTAATGCTTGGGGGGGAAGCGCCGTTTTATGTTTCTCGGGCGGAATTATGCGATTCACGACGATGAATTTCGGATAAATATTGACCTTGCGGCAACTCAGGTCATGACGTCATAGAGAGTGGCCTGTATTGTCAAGGGTACGACTGTCCTGAACCCTTCGTTCGCGCCGGGACGCAGCCGGCGAAGATGTCACGCCAGGACCACCGATTGTTCTCGCGTTATGCCACTTCCTGGTTTGTTATGAAACCTTCGAAGAGACGAAAGGGGAAAAAGGAGAGCGGGAGAGAGAGAGAGCGAAGAGGCGACGAGCGCGAACGAAGCCTCACGGAAGAAGCGGGACGCGCCGCCGCCTCCGCCGCCATGATCGCCAAGTTACCTATTGATCCACACGAAAATAGCGGCGGTTACGTCACTGGCGGCTTGTGACGCACTTTTTAAAGACGCGCGGAAGGACTGGAAGTGAAGGTTATGCGGGGGCGGCTCCAGGCTGCAGGCCAACGTCGCCCTTAGGAGACGCCGGCGGGAGGGTCGTCCTCGGAGGAAGGGCGGCCGGGGGTGGGGGTCGCAGGCGCTGCCGCCGGATTTCGGAGATTAGATGGATGGGTTATGGGCGGGTTACGGCCTGGTTGGGATTTATTGCCGGTCTCCAGGTGTCTCCGGCGTATTTGTTTGTTCCGATGCGAAGGGAGAGGCATCTGCGGTTCGGGTCAGTTCGCTCCGGCTCGCCCGCGCGCCTTTGCTCCTCGGCCTCTTTCCCTTTCTCCTGTTTCATCCTCTCTTTCCCCACTTCCCGTCGCCTCGTCCATTCCACCTCCTCCACCCTTTTTATCACTGCTTGATCTCCCCTCGCCCCTGACCCCTTCCGCTCCACCTCCTTCACCCACTTCCACCCCACTCCAACTCCCACCCCCTTGCACCCACCTCTCCCCACCCCACGCCCCCCTCTTCACCCCATGCACCCTACCCCCCCCCCCGCCTTTCCACCCGCCTCCCTCCTCCACTTCGTACCCTCTGTACTGGAATGAGCCGCGACCACCGCCCGGCCGCCGTAAATGAGCCTGACCTCGCCACAATGTTGCCTGCACTGCGACGGCGGCGGGGCTGGGGCGGGGGCCGAGCTGGGCAACCCTGATGGGCCCTGGAATCGGATGGGGCGCCTCGCCGTGACATTTGGCTTTTTATGATGGGGCAAAGAGTGCGGCAGTCCACGCACACCCCTTTGTTCCGCAGGCTCCTAATGGGCGGCGAGGAGCCAGGGCCAGTGTAACAGGAGCCGTGTCGATAGATGGAAGATGGGTTTAGGCCTAGAGAGGGAGAGAGAGAGAGAGAAGAGAGGGAAGCCGAAAACTCGTTTCCCTGAGTGTCTCGTCGCGGCGGGCGCGTGGGCGTCGAAGGGCGCGCTCGGAAGGGAAAGAGCGGCGCTCGACAGTAAGCCCTCAAGAGCGAGACAAGTCATGTCGAGATCGCGGCGCCTCCTCGCTAACTCCAAGCTCAAGGGCGCGAGCATTATCCGACTGCGATCGTTAATTGAGGAGGATGAGGAGAGGAAGGAACGGACGGAGGCGTAGAGGAGGAGGAGGAAGAGCAGGGAACGAGAAGAGGGTCCAAATGGGAATGAATGTAGGAGATGGAAGGGTACAAGGAAAGGGTTTGCGAAAGGGTAAGGAGAGAGCAGGCCAGATCTCGGATGCCACGGACTCGGTAAATGCTTGCTGATGACACTTGTGACCTGGTAACTCGACCTTGACTAAAGTGGGAGGTTTAGACCCAAGGCCGGGTCGGGTGACCGGGGAAGAAGCTGCTAATGAAAATAATACTAATAATTCCAAAGAACGAACAAAATTATCACCTCGAACAAATTAATTAAAAAAACAAAACAAAAAAAAAATATTGTTATTTGAGATACTTATTGGTTTTTCTCTTGCATTTCCAGTAGGAGGGTCCCTTCCCCCTTCGCCAGCGGACTCAGGCGTATCTGACGTGGACTCTTCCAGCGGACACACCAGTAATGACGAGTCCAAAACCAGACTACACCTCACAGGTACGTCACGTCAGCTGTTGCACGTCGCCCGGGAGATTTTTCCCCCATGTGTAGAGGTGTAGAAGTGTAGTTTTTTCCCCTTTGTCAGACACGTTGTGCGGTCCCTGTTGTGTGATGTTTTTTTTTTTTTGTTTTTTTGCTGTGTGTTTGTGTTTTGTTCATGTGTTTAAATGTATTTGTGTGTGAGAGGGAGAGAAAGAGAGGGAGAGAAAGAGAGAGAGAGAGAGAGACAGAGAGACAGAGAGAGAGAACAGGAAGGATAAATTAGAGAGAAAGAGAGCGAGAGAAGCGACCGCCTCGTCAGTTCGGCCGACAGTTCCCTCAGGCCGAACTCGCCGACGTCAAGCGGGACTGAATGACGTCACAAAGGACGATGTAGTCGATGCGAGAATGGAAATGGAATTGACGCGGATGGAGGACGGGCGGGGAGGAAGAGGGGAGGCGATAAAGGCTGGAGAGGAGTAACAGCGATAATGACGGAGATGATGAGACGGATGAACGTTGACGGGGATGGAAAGCGAGAGGAGAGGAAAGTAAGAAAAAGAAAAAAAAGCGGTATTTTCATTTTTTTTATTTCTATACATCTGCTTTTTCCTTCATTCCTTGGACTCATGTGATGACAAACTCATTAGAGAGAGAGAGAGAGAGAGAGAGAGAGAGAGAGAGAGAGAGAGAGAGAGAGAGAGAGAGCGCGAATGAGGAAGAGGAGGGGAGAGGCAACGCGAGACATAGGCCTGTGTACGCAAAGGATCAGGTTACGAAAGTCCAGACACAAACTTCCTTTCCCACGAGAAGGAGGAGGAGGAGGAGGAGGTGATAAAGAAGGCGTAGAAGGAGATGAGGAAGGGGAAGAAAAGACAAGGGGAGGGGAAGACGAATGCGGATGCGGTATAGAAGAAGGCGTGAATAAGGGAAACAGGAAAGGAAAGGCGTCAGCGGTAGAGATGAAAGAGCGAAAGAGCGGGAAAAAAAGACGCGGGAATTTTGAATGACAGGACGGACTAAGTGGACGGAGACGCAGCGTTGCCACTCGCCGATGCAGAGGGTGATGTGTCGCCGACTGAGGTCATGCTGGGGCTAGTGGTGGTCAGGTCAGGTCAGGGAGATTGGCAGATGGTCAGAGGAGACGGTGTAGGATGACTTGTGAGCCCTTGGGGTGGGGTTAGGGGGGGGCGGGGGGTAGGGGGGTATTTCGAGACTGTGACCACGCCCCTCTGTTGTGTCTGAATTTTCCCCCTTAGTGACCTTACCACTACTTGACCTTACACGAGACGACTGGAGTCACGAGTGCTCGCGTAGTGAAACGTGGGTTTTTGTCTCTGTTTTATGTGTTATTGTTATTATGTGTTGTCATGACTTCCTGGGTGCCACTTCCCAAGCGCATTCTATGAATATTCTTGTAAATATTTTGTGTCGATGCACTTAATGAGTTTCAATCGTCGACAAGAATCCCTAGCAACCCTTGATGATCAGTTCACTTGCTCCTCCCTTGCTTGTCACTGAGCCCCGAGCCCCCGTAAGGCGCCAGAGTAGCCCCAAGCCCAGCTGTGTCCCGCCCGTGTACTCACCGGGCTCCTCTTGCCCTCCCTGCAGTGTGCGGCTCCCGACCCCGGACTCCCCGTCGTCGGGCGCCGAGGCAGGAGGAGGCGGCCTGCCGTCCTTCCACCCGACCTACTCTCCACAACAACTCCACATTCGGTCCACGTCACAGCCGCCTCACACCCCCAACCCCTTCCCCAGGCCTCAAGGTACGAGTCGTCACCTCCAGCAGGAGCGACAGGTTTCACTTTTGTGGGCGAGTCGAGCGGGGGAGGGAGGGAAAGAGAGAGAGAGAGAGCGAGAGAGAGAGAGAGAGAGAGCGAGAGAGCGAGAGCGTGGGAGAAGGGCAGATCCGGATAGGTAGACGGCCAGGTAAAGAGAGGGAGACAGAGACACAACTCTCGCCGCGTCACCTTGGTTGTTTCTTAATGCGGAAAAAAACGATGGAATTGTGTCACGGGTCGATTGTAATTGTGAGATTACATACGCATCACTATTTCCTATAATCATTCCACGCTCCCCTCCCCCCCCTGGTCCTCTCACAGCGTATTAGGCCGTGACGGATGAAGTAACTTCCCACCCCTGCCTCCCTCCGCCCGCCCACCCCTCCTACCCTCCCACCTGTTCTTCCGCACGTAGCGCAGCCAGGACGCGCCGCCGGGAAACAAACAAACAATAGTAAGGGATCTAAAGAGCCTCAGGCCCCGTTAGTGGCACGCTGCAATCGCGGCGGACCGACGGACGCCGCTCCTCTTTGGGTTTCTCTCTCTCTTCTCTCTCTCTCTCTCTCTCTCTCTCTTCTCTCTCTCTCTCTCTCTCTCTCTCTCTCTCTCTCTCTCTCTCTCTCTTCTCTCTCTTCTCTCTCTCTCTTCTCCTTCTTTCTCCCTCTTTCTCCCTCTTTCTCTCCTCTCTCCCTTCTCTCCTCCCTCTCCACCGCCTCCCTCCTCTCCTCCTCTCCCTTCCCCCCATCCCAACTCCCCCATCCTCTCCTCCCTCCCTCCCTCCCCCCTTTTCACCTTGCAATCAGTCAATGCACTTTGGAGTCCTTTCGCCCAGCGTCGGCCTTTACTGCGAATCGGGCGTCCGCGATGGGCGTCGTGCGTCAGAGGGCGGCTTCGGCGAGGGAGGGAGGGAGGGAGGGAGGGAAGAAGGGAGGGAGGAGGGATCGAGGGGCGGAGAGACACAGGGAATGAGGAAACAGATGACGCCCGAGAAGGAACCTTGGGACTCTGCGGCGGGCGGGGAAGGGAAAGTTAGTGGCAGCCGCCATGTGGGTCAAGGTGGTGCTGTGGTGGTGTGGCGCTGCTGCTGCTGCCAGGGGGGGGGGGGGCGGTGCAGGGGGCGCGATGGAGGGGAGGGAGGGGGAGTTGGAGGAGGGCTGGGTGCGTGTGTGTGTGTGTGTGTGTGTGTGTGTGTGTGTGTGTGTGTGTGTGTGTGTGTGTGTGTGTGTGTGTGTGTGTGTGTGTGTGTGTGTTGTGTGTGTGTGTGTGCGTGTGCGTGTGTGTGTGTGTGTGTGTGTGTGTGTGTGCAGCAGGGGGCGGAAAGCAGAAGGATGTGTCGTTTTTTGAAGGGTGGTTTGAGGGCGTAGGGGATTCTCGGAGAGACGAGACGAGAATTCGCAAGAAGTTTTTCTCTCTTTCTTTTTGTAAGGACTAGGGGAAGACGGGGAAAAGTTCAGACGAAGTTGAGTTAAATTGAGGTTATTTACACAGAAGACTCCATGGCGACACACACACACACACACACACACACACACACACACACACACACACACATACACACACACACACACACACACACACACACACACACACACACACACAACACACACACTTACACACACACACACACACACAACACACACACACACACACACACACACACACCACACACACACACACACACACACACACACACACACACAAACACACACACCACACACACACACACACACACACAGACACACACACACACACACACACACACCAGTCAGGGTGGAAGGAGACACGCGCAGGGCGCTGAGGGAAGGAGAGAGAAACGCTTGAAGGAGAGTGAAACGCTGAAGTCTAGAGAGAGAGAGAGAGAGAGAGATGACAGACTCGTCGGAGAGAGACAGAAGAGAGAGTAAGCCATGGAGAGAGAGAGAGAGATGACAGACTCGTCAGAGAGAGAGAGAGAGAGAGAGAAACCGAGAGTAAGACATGGGGAGAGAGAGAGAGATGACAGACTCGTCAGAGAGAGAGAGAGAGAGAGAAACCGAGAGTAAGCCATGGAGAGAGAGAGAGAGATGACAGACTCGTCAGAGAGAAACCGAGAGTAAGCCATGGAGAGAGAGAGTGAGAGAAAGGAGTGTGACACATCGCGGTTCCTCGCCACAACACCTCGGAGACTTTCATCAGTGAGAGTTGTTTTTCCTTCCCGGCGATCGTCACCGTTCCGTTGCCAGCCAGCGCGGCGGCGTAGAAACAAGATTCCCAGGCGCGAGGGTGCAGGTTCGCAAAATGGACCTGTTCCTCTATGTACCTGTTCTTCTGGGGCCGCTTGAGCTTCGCGAATCGAGGGACCACAAGCGGGACGTTTCCCAAGCAATAGCCAATACGTGCAGTGAGGACGCGCTCGGCTTCCTCCCGAAATCGAAACCCCGGGAAAAAGAGAACGAACTCGATGCTGCGCGATGACAGACAGGTTCGCCGGCGGCTGGCATCTCCCGCGCGGCCGAGGAGCGTCCTCACTGCACGCGGCGGGGACCTGCTCACCGGATAACGGAAATGCCTCGCGTCCGCCGCCGTGTGGGAGCGTGGCGTCTCGCGGAGGGCGGCCCGGGAGGGAGCAGGAGGAGGGAGGGGTTGTGAGGGAAGGAGGAGGTGGAAGGAGAGGAGGGAGTAGTAGGGGGAAGGGGAGGGAGGCGGGGGCAAGCAGTGGGAAGGGGCGGGGGTAGCAAGGATGTGGGGCGGGGTATGGGGGAAGTGGTGGAAGGGATAGGGAGTAGGGGAGCGGGGAGGAGGGGGTGGGGGGGTCGTATCTTGGACAGCCTAGGGCCACAGCATGCCTCGACCCTTCTGTCTCATAATCATAGCTAGGTCACGTCAGGAGGTCACATCGTCTCCATCATAAAAGTGAGGAATAACTGTTTTAGCTTCTGCTCCGTCCGTCCGTCGAGCCCCGGCGTCTTTGTCTCCGTTTGGGTGAATATCGCCTTCGTTTCTTCCTCCATCCATCTCATGTTTCTTACTCCCTCTTTTCCCTTCCTCTCCTTGCTCTTGGCCTTCTTCTTCGTGTCCCTTCTTTCCTCGCCTTCCGTCTTCTTTCCCCCCCTTCATCCTCTCCTCTTTTCCTCGCCCATTGTTGCAAAGCCCGTGCACAGGGAGAGCAAAAAGGTTCGCGCCAACGGAGTCAAGTGTTGCAAGAGAGACGATAAGCAGTGAAAATTTAGCAGTGAGTAGGTAGTGCGTTGGTTGTGACATCTGGGTAGGTGCTTGATCCTGCGGCGTGGCGGGGGTGGAGGAGGAGGAGGTGGTGGTGGTGGTGGAGGTGGAGGAGGAGGAGAGGAGGAGGAGGAGGTAGAGGAGGAAGGAGGGGAAGGGGGGAGGGGAGTGAGGGAGAGGGTGATGATTGTGGTGGGGGAGTAGGAGGTAGTGGTGGAGGTGACCTTGGTGCAACGCTCAAAGTCAGCAAGTCACTGCTCCCCACCACCACTTACTCCACCACCGCCACCACTATCTACTCCACCTCAGCCACCATCCCATCTCCACCCTAACTCCATCCCCATCCCCAAACAACCAACTCCGCGAATCTTTCCTGCAACTACCACTTTCCACCACCACCTCCTCCTCCACCACTGACCGCACCATCTGTGTCAAAGCGTGACAGCTCCCGCCCTCAGCTGGTGGTGGCGATCTGTCTCCATCATCAAAAGCCAAATAATCGCCTCGATAAAGTCGGTGAAATCCTATTATTGTCGAGACACTGTCCTTGCAGGTTCTTTGACCTGCGATTACAGCTTTTAACTAGCCTACATCACCAACTCTCCTTTTTTCTATATATTTTGAATCATTTCCTTACCCTTCGTGCCCGGATTTCCCAAGAGACGGCAACAAGTAGACATGAATGTTACCTTCGGAAAGTCACACACACATTCCAGCCGAAATTTATAGCCGACGGACCCCATGCCCTCACCTTGGAAGGGCGCGCATCGGCCGTTCGGGACCATCATTCCCCGGGAACGAAACCCGTACATCATCGCTCTGCATGTCTGCGTTTCGAGGCAGAGATTATAGGGGGGGGGGGGAAACAAATTTCAGTTAATGCGTCATGCTTGCTGAGGAAGATAAACGAAGAGTGAATTGTCACACCATTCGATTCTTTGAACATACGGGTGTGAGAACACAGGATGGTTCCCCGTGACAGAAGCTTACTCCGACCGAGGGCATCACCGCGGAGGATCGGGGGAATAGCGACAATTTCGTGGTGGACAAATGCATATTTTCACATATAAATAGATTAGATTAGGTCGTTAAGCAGATAGAAAAGATAGGATAGATAGAAGATTATGTAAGATAAGAAGATAGTAGAATTAGAAGCCCTTACGAGTATTTTAGTGGGCTGAATGAGGCCGAGAATTAATCGATAGACACGCAGCCTTGTAAATTAGAATAGATAGAGGTTTAGATAAAACAATAGGCGAGAAGGTAATGACTAAATAGATAGGTCTCAGAGTATCTGAATGGTGGCTGGTAAGAGGAAGCGAGTCCGCTTCACATGGAGAATTGAAGGATTCGATTCTCAGTAATTATGGGTGTTTGCGCGTCGCGAATGTTGTAGTGGTCGTCTATTACTGTTATATAGTGTGGTAGGTATGTTAGGTGTCTAGCCTCGAATGCCCTTGTTGTCTGCCTTGTGACTAACGAACCATGGTCTGTTTTGTCGTGGTCTCCCTGTGTGCACCAAACCAGTGTAAAGTAATGTGTCAAGTGTCCGCGCATTGGATTGCAACAGCGTCTGCTAGAATTGGCTGATGGGCAATGGAACACGCGGAGGCTGTGCAGCAGTTGCGCCTTAATCACGGCGAGTAGATAACTGTCGTTGGAATCGGGAGAGGGCGTGGCTTCCTCCTATCCAGGTGACCTTTGGCAACGTATAGCTTTTGAGGAGTGCAGGTGTCGAGGAAGGAGGAGGGGTAGCAGAGCGGGTGTATTGAATTGGACCAATCGCCGGAAGGTCATGATGGAAAAGAGAATATCATTAAGTGAATAAGGGAGTATGTAATTATATGAGGCACTAAAATAGATGTATGAGATATATTAAAATTTTTAGGAGAATTATTGATAGGGACAAGAGAAAGGGAGGAGAGGGGTGAGTAAGGGAGAGAAATAGATAAAATATATTAGTATGATCGCACATAAATTTAGTAGGAATTAGATTATTGGGATACGAGAGCACTCACTGAGCAGAGAGAAGGGCAAGGTGTGGGGCACGTGAGGGGATATACGATGAGAAGGCTTAAGGTTTTGTGTGGGGATGTATGGTGTATTTTATATAGGCTCGAGTTGTGGGTGAAGATCAGATAGAAGGGGTAAGTGAGACGGGATTAAGGTGGAATAAAATTTAAATTAATATGCATTTTGGTGTTTTAATAGCAATTAGAGAGAGGGTCCAGAAAGGAGAAAGAACAGCTAAGATAGATATGAAGATACGAAAAAGAATAGAGAAGAAGATAGAAGAAGTGGCAATATGGAGCAAGTGGTAACGAAAAAGCAGGTATGGAGAAAGGAGGAAAAGGAGGTGTTCTGAAGTTTTTACAATCGAGGTAGAACGGAAATAATGTAATAAAATAGTGAAAGATTCACGACAATGAAATGCTGATAAAACACCACGTATGGAAATCGGAGTAGAAGGAAGAAGAAAAAGGAAGGAGAGAAAACGAAAATGGAGGGGAGGAAAGAAGTATCAAAAGAAAAAAAGGAGGAAGAGCATGGGAAATAGTTAAAGAAGAGGAGAACGAATAGGGGGAAGCAGGAGGATAAGTAAGAAGAATGGAAATGGAAATGATATAAAGAGATATATATGGAAGAATCGCTGAGGAGGAACGACACGAAGACAGCAGTGGAAGCAGCCGGAAGTGAGTGCAATGGCGGAAGAAAATGTGGCCATACCGTGGAGGTGGTGTTTTGCTTTTTTCTCTCAAATGATGAGTTATCTAGCGATCTGCGAAGAAAAACTGAAGCATAGTTTTTTTAATACGGCAAGAGAGGTAGGTCTAGAATTCTTTCAAATTTTCGTTCCACTGTTAAGGCCGTAACTCCCCAAATGGCTGTTGCGCGCAAAATTCTACGTGAAAAACGGAGTTAGTCGCGCCCTGTAAAACTAACGACTCTGCTTCTATTATCACTTACTATAGACAATGCGCCTAATTGTTGAATTGCGGAACTTTCTTTCTCTCCTCTGTGTCAGTTGGGTAACACTTTCTTTTATGGCTAATTTCACAAATAATTACTTGCTCTGGCTTGGATTTCCACTGCATTTTGATATTTCATGATTTCTTTTCTTAATCGAATATTCTGACGCATTATCAACGGTCTGTATTGTACATCTCCTTCTTCAATTATTGAGAGAGCTTTCTTACTCGAGTCCATCGATCATCAAAAAGTGCAGCTCACAGAATTACACTCTTATTTATTTCCATTCTCATCCTAATTACTTATGCATCACCTCTCCGCCTCGTATACTGAGTCACAGCAATGTCTGCCCAATCGTCTAATTTCTTACGCTCCTCTGCTCCTCTCCAATTTAAGACAGTGTAGGATAATTTATGAGGATCCTTCTTGTTCTAGCTAAATAAACCCTGTGATCCTTTAATCGTTCAAGAAGTTCTCCGGTCACACTTCGGATAAGCCGAACCTTGAGCGGTCTAGCTCTATTGCTGCATGTATTTTCCATTCTCTATCGTTCTCCTTCATCTTTCCAGAGGTCCCTCCAGCACCTGTTCGGACCCACACAAGCCCAGTGAGCACGATTTAAACGAGTATCGCGAAAATATTATTGCCCGAAGAGTTTTCCTTCGGTACCTCGTCTTTTCGACGGAAAACCCGTCCCACTTTCTATATTTATATACTTTTTTCTCTCGTCATTGCTAAAATGGTCAGTCTCGGCACTGTGAACCTTGTCTACTTTCTCTTATATCTTACCGGTTTATCTTATTATTTGCCTCTGTGTGACTTTGTTCTCTCCATTTTCATTCTCATGTATCCTTCGATATGCGCTGTAAACGCCACTTGCGCGGCCTCCGGAATATGAATATTGGGCACCTATTCTGGTTCTCTGTGGATAGATCGACGTGTCAGGGTTTCATCTTCAGACACTATTCAACACTGCAATAATAAAATTATCCCGCTCTGCGGTGGCTACATCCTATGGCTTAGCTTGACCATCGCGGCCGCCAAGCACAAAACCCTCTTAATAGGCGGGAACACCACCCTCCTGTGGCCCGCCCGGACCCAGGTCAGCCGCCCAGGAAACGGGGTCGGGAGACCACTGCCCAAAGGTTTTCAAAAGGAAACAATTCCCCTGCGGTTCGCATTGGAGAAATTAGAAGAGGAAACTTTTTTAATGACCAACGGGGAGCTTTATGGATATTAGAGTATGACTTATTCTGGGATGGCGGCCGCACAGGCGAACGTTCTTGCGATCTCTCGCAAATTTTTTTCCTGAATGTCAGCTTATATTGTCTTTCCGCTTTTATTCTTCTATTTGTTTCTCTCAGCGTTCTTTAAATACTTTCTTACTATTTATTATGCTTATTATCTAATTTGTCTTATCAGATCAGTTTGTCTTTATGTTTATGTAAAGTTCCCTCTTGAGCTTCCTGGTTTGTTCTAATTCTATTTGTCTCTTGCCTCTAGCCTCCATACTCAAGGCCTATTTTATACTTATATTCTAAGTATCCTCTTAGCATATCTTCGGCTAAAATATCCGAAGCTTATTATTTCAGTGCTATGCCTATACATAGTTTTTCTTAACCTTACTAATTCTTCTCCTTCCTGCCTCCTAATTGGCGAGTGAGTACTCACTTACTTATTCTAACGGCTTACTAAAATTTGACAACTGCGCCTTCCGTCAATCCATTCTCCCCCGTTACAATCGAAATCGTGACGCCATCCTCGTGTGTGAAGAACTAGATGTAAAAGTGGCTAATAGGATAGATCCGTTATATTATTGGGTTGCTTCTTGCGCGCGCGCCTCGCGCGTTAAAAACAAGCCTCCTCTTCTGCGCGCAGCCTAGCCCCGTGACTATCTCCGACCTCCTCCTCGCCCTCGTGACAAACAGCGGGCATCAACCACTCTTCTCACCTTAAAACCCTCTCCTCCCGAGTATGAGAACACTACATTGGACCACGCAATGCATCCCCTCCCTAAAAAGGGAAAAAGAAAAGAATGGGAAAACAATAAAAGAGAAAAGAAACACAAAATATTTAAAGCGAAAATCCTAGCAACACAACGTACAAAGCGCGCCTCTCGAGAGGAACGAGACCACGCGCGCACGATCCGCGTGTGTATAACCCGCAATGCGCGTGAAATCGAATAACATACTGGTCCTTACGGGCTTATTCTCGCAGGCGAATAAGAAAGGGAGGAGAGAGGAAGCTCGAGTAGAGACGAGAGAGAAGGACAGAGGAAGAGAGAGAGAAGAGAGAAGAGCAGAGCGCAAAATTTTAGTCACGGTACACACGGCGTGTAACTAAATTATTAGAGAGAGGATACGCTACCTGAGAATTTTCCTCCTGGGGAAGAGTTCGAAGAAGGATACGTGCTGGCAGCCGGGGCGGGAATCAGGTATTGGGCTGCGGGCTCGCATCTACATACAATGGAATAGTCTACAGTTGTTTATTTGTTACTCGTACAGAAATATAGCACATAAACGGCTCATATAGTATGAATATTATGACGATTTACTAAGATTGAGAGATAGATGCGAGGATGGGCAGTGTACAAGGAGAGGATAGTCGAAGGGCGAAGCTCCCCCAGGAGAGTAGAGAGACGAGAGAGTTGAGATGTCACCATACGCGGACTATGGACACTCCCCCCGATCGGAAAACCCAAATCAAGCCTCTTAAAAAAACATGGAAACAACATAAGAGGTATCGGCAATGGGAGCAGAGCGAGCCCCCTCAGCAAGAGACGTCGGCCCTCGTCGTATCGTCGCTGCCGCCGAGCAACTTTCTATACCTGAGGCGACATGGGGCTTCCCTCACAGGAATGAAGAAGAAAGGGCCTCAATGCCGCTAAGACCCGCGGACGGCAACAGAAAGAGAGAAAGGCAGCCGGCATGAAAGAGAGATAGAAAATGCCAGAGAACGGTAATTATTATCAGGCGACTTTGTCGGCGCTCGCGGGCCAGCTTGCAAATATTTTGGAGGAATGTATCTTAGTGGTTGCATTCTTGGATCATCTTTTAATT